CATCCATGTTTTTATGTCTTTAAAACATGCTTGTAACTTAAGTAACTGATTGGATTCATCGGGTTTCATGGACAAATATAATTGTGTATCATCAGCATAACAATGAAAATTTATCCCATGTTGTTTAATAGCATCACCTAATGGAAGCATATATAAAGTAAAGAGTATTGGTCCAAGCACTGAGCCCTGAGGAACTCCATGACTAACTTTGGTGTATGAAGAAGATTCATTATTTATATTTACATACTGGAATCTATCAGATAGATATGATTTAAACCATTTTAGAGCTGTTCCTATAATCCCAATATCATATTAAAAATCTCTGTAGTAAAATATTGTGATCAACTGTATCAAATGCAGCACTGAGGTCTAACAGGACCAGTACAGACACAAGTCCATTTTCTGAGGCCATGAGAATATCATTAGTGGCTTTTACTAGTGTTGTTTTTTGTGCGATGATGAGCTCTAAACCCTGACTGAAACTCTTCAAATTGATTATTTCTTTTTAGATGTTCACGCAACTGACCTGCAACTATTTTCTCTAAAATTTTTGAGATGAAAGTTAAATTAGATATAGGTCTATAATTGCCCAGAATTTCGGAATCAAGGTCAGACTTCTTAAGTAAAGGTTTAATTACGGCAACCTTAAAGCGCTGTGGTACATAACCATTCATTAAAGACAAATTAAGCAGATACAAAATGTGGACATCAATTAGGGGAAACACCTCTTTAAACAGTCTGGTTGGGATGGGATCTAGCAGGCATGTGGATGGTTTGGATGAGGTTATTATTTTTTGCCAATTCAGAGAGCTCAACAGGACAAAAACTGTCCAAACACAAATCAGGTTCTAGTAACATTTCTAAAGCAGCATCATCCGACACAGAATCAGGGGTAGTAGTAGGAAGGATGGTTTGAATTTTCTTTTTAATTGAAATAATTTTATTTATAAAGAATCTTGTGCAGTCAACTTTAAGTGTTATAACAAATAATGAGACCTGCAAAGTAAAGAAAAACAGTGTTTTTCTGTTAAATAATATTTATGTACCCAAAACAACAAGTGTTTTACTGCGATATCATTTAAAAAACGCTTTTTAAAAACAAAATGTTAAAAATGTTATATAAAAAATTAAAATGAGCAGCTCACATAGGGAATTATTGTTTCTCCTGATTAAAAAAAAAAAAAGATTACAGCAATATATTTTTGTTTGACTTACATCAGCAGATCCACCTTTGATAGAGTCTCATCCTTCTCCAAAGACTTCAACGGTTGTTTGGATCAGGAAAATCAGAGAAAGGTGTAATAAATTCAGCTTATTTATTAGTTTCAGGATTTTAGTTTTTTCTTAGTTATTGTGGTAGTTTGTGTTCAAACTTTAAAGTTATTTATATTTTGTGATTCTTGTGTTTAATTATGTTACTCATATTTGCATTTTATCAGTTCTCCTGTGTTCTCCGGTGTTCCTCTGCACCATCAGCCATTCATTTCCTCAGTTTTTTGCTGCCACACCCCCTCACACCTGCACCGTCTCATTCAGCGCAGCTGTTTCTCATCTCCTCTTCAGCCTCAGCCCATATAAACTTTCTGCATTCAATCCAAAACTCTGTTGAGCATTGTGCGTGCTTGTATCTTCGAATGACTACCTCGTGCCCTCCTCAAGTTTCTGTCAGTTCGCTGCCACAACGTTTTATTGTAAAATAAAGTTTACACTGTTTTTTGAGCTCTTCATGTCAGTCTGCGTTCTGGGTCAAAATCCCCAAGCCCGTAAGAATCACGGCACTTTATTGTGGTCCAAAATGTGCAGCTGCTATTTGTGAAAGCATCATTGAGCTGTCATGTCTGACCAGAAGCAGACGGTAAATGGCTCCTGTCACATTGCCTGTTGTTTTAGTTCATTGTTGGATGGTGTGTCCCATGAACTAAGACTCTATTCTCAAAAAGAAGAAACTTGCTATATTAGCTGATCTGAGAGAACTGTGGATATTTTACATGGCCAGCAAAAGCAGGCTCATTGACCATTACAAGTGAGACTTGCTCTCAGGTGTTTTGCACGCTGTTCGAGCTGAGATGTGAGAGCCTTTACTGCAAAGGCATGAAGGTTCAAGAGTAAAAGAATGTATTGGGTATTTTCCCCCAGATTTTCTCAGCTATAGATTACTTTTATTGTTCATATTTTCTGTGCTTTGTAATGAAACGGAGTGTTGCGATCCTTTTTGGAATGAGTTGAAGTGTCACAGGTTTCATTTTGTTTTTAAATGACAAAATAACATTTTTAGCAGTAAGCTTTTGGCTGCCATTTATTTATTTGCTTCGTTTTTGTCTGTCCAAACAGGTCTCACTTGTAAATGAGTCTTTGAGGCTCAATGTGATTATTCTGTTTAAATTAAGATTGAATGAATGTATTGCCATAAAAGCATTATGTCCAACAACATTTGAAGGAAACGCCTGAGCTGAACTAGGAAGGCTCAGTCCAGCTTTATGACTGCAATTATAGCCAGAAAAACAAAAATCCAAATACTGTGATTCTACTTGTTGTTTTTTTTTTCTTCAGTGACAGAAGATAAAAGCTGTAATTTACGGGGAAAGTTGAAGTTACTGTGAAACGTGGCCCTTCCCGACTGACTCTACGCTAGCTGGATAGCCATGCTTAAACATTGACAACATTTAAAGTTACATCATATTTTAATGTCACAGCTTTATAACACAGGTTTGTTGAAGGTTGAACATTTCTATCAACTTATATCAAAATGACCTTTTTGTCTTTTCCCTGTAGGTCTTGGTATTTACAGAGCATTTCTGTATATTTCAGTTTCCTGCAGCTCAATATGCTGCTTTAGGACAAAGGCAAATGCTGATAGTTAATGTAATTTTTAAAAAATATACATGTAGAACCTCCTTTTTATATTTAGAGTTTGGTAACATTTGCTTACACACCCTTCATACTTTTAAAACTAAAGACTGATAGTAAGTGCTCAAGTGTGTGTGTCTCTGTGTGTCCGTGTGTGTTTTGCGTAGGTGGGCAAGGGATGATGAATTGCAGGTTTCAAGATCTCCATGGATATTGTTTCCATGAACGGTGCGCCTGGCAAAAAATAAATACCAAGGTGACAATTTACTTGATGGACTGTGCAAAAATCACTTATGTGCGCACACTACTTCACTCCCTCAGTTTTCATTCAATAACAAACTTTATTTTGCTTGCATCAAGATGACACCCATTCAGTTTTCTTTCATGCACCGTTAGAAATGTAATAGTTACCCCTGACATATATACTATTTCTATCTGTATCTTTTCTATCAGTGATGTGATGAGCCTGAAACCTATATTTCTGCATTTCTTTTACCATCATATGGTCGTTGAAATATTACTTTTTTCGTGTTAAAACTGTATTTTATTTATATATATATATATATATATATATATATATATATATATATATATATATATATTCCCAGTCTTTTTATATAGTTTATATTTTTGGGTGTAACTTGGACTTGGAGTACACAATTTCGTTCCACCTCATGTACCACATGTGATGTGAATGACAATAAATCACCTTAAACTTTGACGCAAGTTAAATGTAGTTTAATTAACTGACCGGTTTTGTCTCATAGATTTTTTTAAAGGCCTTTACTATGCATTTTCTTGTCACAGATGCAGACTGACACAAGGAGCCCAAGGAAATAAAAAATAACATGAAAATAAAACAAAAAAACTGACACAGCAGCAAACCTTACAGCAACTAAGGATATGATACAATAAGGCACAAAGAGATGCAAGAAAAACCAGAAGGGGCATGGGAGCACAACAGGTCTCTTTTAAACAAACCCTCGAGGCTCAATGAGATGAGACTAAAGGTTGAATTGAAAAACAAAACTGCTCATCTGATGGTTAAAATGCAACTGAAGAGCTGATGAGAAGAGTAGCTGCAGCTGTGACTGGTGAGACAGGGAGCAGGTGTGGCAGGCTGACTGGAAAAGGACTGACTGAGGGAGGCGTGGCTGATGGCACAGAGGAAAACTCAAAAACTGGTCAAAAGAAAACACAAGTAACCGAACATCGAGGTTCATGCTCAAAAATCCAGGTAAATAATCCAACACTGTTCAGTCAGGTCATCTGGACAGTTTCTTTTTTTGTTGAAAGACGCTTCGCCCTCCATCCGAAGGGCTTCATCATCAGTCTGAGGAGTCGCAAACAAACTGTTTCCCCCACTAAGCAATACACTCCTACCGTGGACCAACCATTTTGCTGGTGATAATATGGTTTCTGGGGGCCATCCTCTCCCCCATCGACTCCTCCTCCCAGACAACACAGACAAGTAACCAAACTGAACACTTTCACAAATCACAGAAAACAAAACATAGCAACCAAAAAGGAATAAATCTAACAATAAACATAAAGGACGACCAATAAGTAACAAAAACACACAGATCCAGACATTTTTTTTAAAGATAACGATCCAAAGTGATGGCAATCAGCCCCATACTTTTACCTAAAACAATAAGAATTTTAACAATGTGAAAGGACAAACAAAAAGCTTGGATCATGTTTAGATGATGCACAAAAACAAAAGTCTTATTGTACTAAATATATATATTTTTAAACACGATGAATTGTCACTAATTGGACAGTCGTACTCAGATGTATGAGCAGTTATGAAAACGGCATGTTTAGGTCAGTTACCTCTCCCATCCAGTCTCATTGTTTTTGCATGTCTTCCACTTGTGTATGACTACACGTCAGCTTAATTATTAATATTATTTTGTTCAGCTGTAATTCACATTTGCTCTGACTTCATAGCAGCAGCGTTGCAATGACCCATTTTCTCAGATTTGATCAATACAGTTTTATCTCATTCAGTTGACTCCTGTTCCCCAGTGTGGCTTCTGAAAGGATCAATACTAGAGTTTTTAGGTGATTCACTGAGGTTCTGTAGCTCCACAGTATCAGAGTCTTTCAGGTTGCAGCAGTTCAGTTTTGTCTTAATATGCCAGACAATTTCATCCCAGAGTCTGAAATGTAAAAAAAGACAGTCATTAAATGTCAATGTGTCCCTTTTTAAAAGTAAGTCAGGTATTAGACTGGCAGTACATGTGCAGCAGTCTGTGCGGTTGAAATGATTATAATCCAGCCCCGACTCACATTCCGCTGAGTAAAATGAGCCTCTAAATCTTTCTCATTGTTAGTGTCACTGAAGGAATTCAAAGGAACTTTGGTTCATTTTATCAGGAAGAATAGACAGAGAGAGAGGACCATCTCAGATAATCACTTTTGAAATAATGCAGCTCACCTTTTGTTCCCCTCCATCAGCCTCACTCATGTCAGATTTGATGGCTTCTGAAAGATGTGATTTTACATTCAGAAACTCATGATCTGGCATACTAAGAGGATCAATCAGAACCTCAGGAGGGACACCGGGGTGTATCCAGGATGAGGGGATGTGGATACTCCACGTCTCGGGCTGCCCAAATGTCCCTGTAGACAAAGACAAATTTTTTATGTGCCTTTTCTTATTATGAAGTTCTGGTTAATGGTGCTGAACAAATGTGACTGTGAAAGCTGTGGCTTCTTAAAATGATATATTTCTGCACATTAAAATAATCGATAAGCAAGGACGTGCATAGGAACTTGTGTTCTGGAGAAAAAAAGCTATTTGGATGTTGGATATTTATGGAGCCAATAAATATTTTAATTTGTTCTAAACGTATTCTCTCCCTTGGGTAAATCTAAGTTTTATTTATTTATTGTATATATATATATATATATATATATATATATATATATATATATATTTTTTTTTTTTTTTTCCTACCTGGATTATTGAGCATGCATCAGGATATATTGGAGAGAAATATTCCTGAGGGATCCAATAATTTTGTGGCTTTTTATGAATTTTCAGCTGAGAACTTTAAAAGATTATTTAATAGTCATTAAAGTGACAACAGGATTTCATGATAAAGCCGGCACCGTTTATTTATTGTTATTTAATCCACTGATTAAAAATTGTTATTTTTTTTTAATACATAAAATGTTTTAAAAATCGTTTCCACCCTCCGTCCCAGACCCGTCCCAGTCCGCCCGTCTGCCGGGATCAGGGTTCGCCCTTCATGAACAAGCGAGGCTGGTGTCCAGGCAACAACATTCTGTGAGTCAGCAGCTCATATGCTCCTCCGTGGTGACCAGAGGAGCATGGAAGGCCGGCCCGAGCCCAGAGTCGGCAGCACGGAGGATCTTCTGCGGTGACCAGCGGAGCTCGGAGCTGGGGAGATGATGCCCTGCACGGCCTGAGGGGGCTCCGAGGCTCCGGTGTAGAGGACCGGGGGAGCTCCATCTAGCTCGCTCTGAATTTTGTCGTCGGCCACTAAACACAAAAAATGTCTGCACTTAAGCATTAAACCACAGTGTTATCATTATTGTTTTTAAAATCTTAAAAATAGATCCAATCGCTCCTCGAGTCCGAACACCGGTAATTGAAAAAGGCGGCTCGAGTGTTATGAAAATTCTCAAACCCCTCTAGTCACTCCACCCCCTGACCAATCCCGACAGTGTTCTGATGTCACGTTTTGGTGCTGGTTCGGCCCGTTTGGAACCCCAGAGCAAAGGGTTCTGAAAAGGGGGACCGGTTCTACGAAGTGTTACTAGTGGAAAAGCCTTGGAACCGTGTCAAGTCGAGTGGAACCGTGCTGTACTGTTACTAATGGAAAAGCAGCATTAGAGGTTATCAGGGGGTAATTAACATTTTTTATAGAATGACGGCCTCGAGCCCACACTAACACCTACCGATGTATTGTCCTTGTGCACTCCAAAGGCGCACAGTTCGGTCTGTGGATGAAGTAAGCACCACTTGATCAGTGTCAACAATCTGCAGACTGGATCAAAGGAATAAAAAAGGACATGCGATAAAGTAGCAGAAGGCATTCAGACCCTTAATCATCCCTACAAGATCAGCCCAAGGTCAGACTGAGCAACATGTAGAGAAAGTGCACCAAAAAAAAAAAAAAAACGAGCTATATTTCAAACTCTGCAGGCTCCATTTCCCACGTTAAAGGCAGCATCTCATTTAGCTTGTTGAAAACCTTCCCACACACAACTCTGCGCTCTGCAGCTGCCGAGCAAAGCTGTGCTGCTGTTCTCACTCGCATCAAGGATGATTGGATTCATTAAGGATGAGCACATTTCAAGAACAGAAATAGCCAAAGACTGAGGAGAGGAAAAGTAAGACTGCTGTTCGCCTACAGCCACTTACAGCTTGATCAGATAAATGCATGATTGATAATGAGAGGCACTTTGTATTTTGCATACCTGGTAATTGAGCTGGTGTGGGCGCGCCAGGAGTGTTCAGCTGAGTCATTGGGAGAAAAGAAAAGAGTGAGAGAGAAACAAAATGTCTTCCTGGTTTCACACCAGGTCCAATCAAAGGTAAAAGGAAAAACTGAAGCTAACCTTTTGGTGATCTTTGCTCCAGCTCAAACTTCTCCATGTTGTAAATATAAATGTAGCCGACTCTGTCTGCAGCATACAGCAGCTTGTCTTCACGAGTTTGGGCCAGTTTGGTTATCTTTTCTTGGAACTTGGACTGAATTGGATAGAAGCAAACAGGATTTAAACGGGAATGAGACTACTGATCGGAACTGGTTTGATTCAGCTCACGCATCAGCAAAACAAAAGTAAAAAACAAAAACAAAGAATCAATCAGTAATCATAAGTGTTTTTTTTCTCCCTTTGCTGTTACCTGCAGACAATGGATCCATCAGATAATGTTCCTCTCCATATAGATACATGGAGGAAAAAGTATTTTCATGTAAATCGCATGAAAGTCGAGGTAAAATATAGGCACATCCTTTTCAATTTTTTACGTTTTACATAATAATACTTGATATCAAGTCTTAAAAATAACACAATTGAGGATCAACAACACATGACCACTGAACTGTTATGATTTACGTTGCAAATATTGTGTGAAAATGTGTGCAAAACCACACTCCCTCTCACGGCTTTTATGGGAGAAGCCAGAAATTATTTAGAAGCAGAAAAACAAAAAATCAAGATCAATTTTCCAAACAGAGGATGTTCCTACAAGTTCACCCCTCGGCGCTAAAAACATCAACTGACCCCAAGGTCAGACTGTGTAGTGCTCAAAAAAAAGTCAAAATGTTTAAGAGCCACATCTTAATCTTCACAGTTTTCCGTTAATGTGTTAAATGGTAAAGTTCATGTCAGTAGAATAAAAGAGAAGAAGAAAAAAAAATGCTGTAAGAATAGTTTCTGTGGTCAGGTTGCCTGGGGGAGAAATGTTTTTTTTTTTTTTTCTTTTAGGTTTACAAAGTTGAATTTGGAAAAAACATAAAACTTTTGGAAGAGCATCTGTAGAACAAACGAGACCAAAGTGAAGAAAATGTGGTGCTTTATAAAAACCAAACAGCACATCAGCACAAACAACTTGACAATAATTTAAGAAAACCAACAAAAATGGAATAAAAACAGGGAAAAAGAAAAGGCTCAAAGAATTGCTATGGCCCAGCTAACGCTCCGACATCAACTTTATTGAACTGCTGAGGCAGGACAATGAGAGAAAAGCACAAAAACAAACATTCATAGTTCCATGAACTGAAGCAATTTTAGGAAGAAAGGACCAGAATTTCTCCACACTTGTAAAGACTAAACAAAATCATACAATGGACAGTTACCTCATTATTTTTAATGAAGGTTATTCAAGGCTGCAAGTCTAAATTTCAAGAAAATGGACGCATTATCTGTTATCTGAATGTTTGCAACCAGTGAGCCATGTGGCTGTGTACTGAAAAACCATTTTTTTTTTAAATTGTGGTAAATTTTTGCATGCATGGCTTCCAAAACTGGATTGTAGGCCATGCACATTATTTCATTTCTCACCTCCACCCACATCAGTTGCCTCAACTCACCTTGGCAGCTGCCATGACGTTTTTTTTAATTTAATCTTGAGTACACTTAAAAATGAAGGTGTCAACCAGTATTTACATAACTATAATGTATCCTCAGCATGTTTTTAAGGACACTGAAGGTTGCATGTTTTCTCTCATATAGAAGTGATCCTGTGCAGGTGTGTCATGACACAGCTGCCGTGCTTTTGAATTTATGGGATATAAATTGAGAAGGGTTTGAAAAGGGAGTGAGACACCTGCAACGACTCTGTGACTATTTGTAGAGAACATCTGGACATGTCCAAAATTCAAGTGACAATAGGCAGAACCTCTGCTACTCGTGTGAATAAACTGAGGACCTTTGTGAATGTTTCAAGTAGTTTATGTAATGTTAGGCCCTAATGAGTAGACGCAAAGGTTTATGCCCTTTATAAAAGGTCAGTATTGAAAGAGAGGGTGATTTATTGGAGTCACATGGTGAGAAACTAACTGTGAATTTGTATTTTTGGTAAATCCATATTCCTTAATATATTCTATACTCTTAAAAAACCTTTATCTGAGGTTTCTGCAAAATTTCATATTTTATTTTAGCTTTGGGGATTTTTTGAATGCCTCAAAGTTCACCTCATCTCAAATCCAAGAGAGAGAGAAAGAGTTCACAGTTTGAATGAATTACCTGCAAGGAAAGTAAGAAATAAATTATATAAATATAGATTAAAATACATTATTCTTTATTCAGCAGTTTTTAAGGACTAAGGAGAGAAGTGCCATCCCTGAATAGCAAAAAGGGAAAGTGAGAAATCTAAAACCAAGTTAAAATTATATTTCTCACTATTTTGAAGCTGTTGACAAGTTTTTCTTCACTGAGCATATTCCAGAGATTCACACCCCCTGTAAAATAAGGAATATATAAATATAGTAGGATGAAAAACTCCGTGGAAAGATGTAATTACATAAGGTGCCGTAAATGGCTAATGTCACACGTCTGACCTTTGACCCCAGATGAAAGAAGAGCTGTGTCTGAGGAAAACTGCTGAAGTTTGAAGCTCTTCAGGAAAATGATGCTTGGAACACTTGGATCCAGTTCTATGTTAGAACAAAAAGATAAACGTATCAAAGTTGTTTACTGTGTTATTTCCTCACTTAATGCTTCAGAGTCACCTTCAGTATTCTGGTCTTCGGCTTCGTTGGGGCCAATAAACCGACACTGAATGTGTCCAGAAACCAGGTCCCACACAAGAATCTCTCCATCAGAGCTGCCGGTGGCCAGAAGAGATGGAGGACAGTGAACCGCACAGAGGATGTCCTTCTTATGACAGTTCTTCTGAAAAGAGACTAAACTTTTATATTTTGAAATACCAGGTAACAGGTGAATGAGGTCATTTTTGTCCGTTTGCATGGAATAGTTTCACTTTTCTATAATTTCACTTGGTTTCAACCGACTTGATAACTTGGTAAAGCTTTCCAAGTGTAAACCATTTTATAATAGAAGAAAGCTATAAAAAAGAAAAAACAGATAAAAAAAAATTGAACATGCTGCAGATCATGTACAACTTTTCATTAAAAAAAATCCTTCTTTGTGTTAGTTGGATCAGAATAAATTCATTCTTATGTTTATCCATTAAAAAAAAAAAAACAATGTTAGCTTAGCTCCTAGCTAATTAAAAGCCCTCATTAGGTTTCACATATAATTTTAAATGGGAGTTTACAAAAATTTGAAATAGCACCATTTAACCTCCATCCATTCTCTTTTACTCGCTTATTCCATTTTGGGTCACATGTTTGAGCATTTTGTAACATTTATCTTTGACAGACAAGAAAAAAAGGATATAATCAAATAATTTATTTTACTTTAACCAGAAGCCAAATATTGCAAATCTGAGCAATCACAGCAAATGTCATACCATTCGCCACCTAAAATGTTTAATTAAATAATAATAATAAAAATAAGTAGCCTCATTGTAGAGATAAAAAGCTCTTGGATTAAATTGATTTCCATCCAAATTAGACAATTTATGAATGTCAAAAGGTTTTCACTCTACTTAAGAAACTAATCCATGTGTTCCACATGAATAAACAACTAATTTCGTGTCAAAGCCCCGACTAAGCCAAACACTGGTCCTGCTGCTATCACTGATGCAAACTGATTAAAATGTGCTTTTTTTATGAGCCTATTCTTACAATAATCAACCAGAAGATTTGTTCTGAGTTGTTCTCATGTGAAACTGCTCTCACCACAAGCTGAATTAAGGAAAGCAGATGTTGGGAGTGTTCCTGTTACACCCCTGCAAATAGGGGCGGAAGAATCACGAGAGTGATTTTAAGTTGCTTCCTCTCAGCAGTTTAATGGAATAAATATAAACATAATACATGTCCCTCAATGTCAAAGTGGAAAATAAACTAATTAATAAAGCAAAATATTAAACTGCTAAAAATCAGTGTTTCCACATATTTCTGTACACTCAAATAATAACAAGTTCCTAGTTTCTGCCGTTAGCTTAACAGCTACACAACTGACAAACTGACACAGAAACATTGTCTAAAAACTCATGAAACAACAAAAAAACACCTAAAGTTCATAAAATAATAAATGATTACCTATAAAAGCTAATTAATAAACCAAAATAAGAAGATATAGCTAAATATCTTATAACATGGTTCCTCACAAAAAAGACAGTTAGCACAGCTTTTAAGCTTCTACCGTTAGCTTAGAGCCATTTCGTTCAAAATTGAATAAAGTGTTATTTAAAAATTATTAATAAATATTCCATTAAATAAATAAATGTTCCCATGAAATAAAACATGTATATAGAAAATGTAGTTTTTTTCCCTAGATTTATTTATTTATTTCAAGGTTTATTTATTTATTTAAAGATCTATTTTTATTTATTCCAAGATTTATTTATTTATTTAGTTATTTAATAATGGAGTTTCAATTTGTGACACTTATTTTGTAAAGCTACTTTACATATTTCAGGGGCTTTTATTTTTTAACCCGTTCTTCATTTTTATCTCTTTTCATTTCATGTTCTTATATTCAAACGATGGGGCGGGATTTTCTCTCTTTTTTGACCAATCAGAGCAAAGTATTCCCCCCAGTGAGCTCTGCGGGGTCCAACAGAGAAGACCCCGCCCCCTCATTTGAATATAACATGAAATAACAAGCACTTAAAATGAAAAACGGGGTTAAAAAAAACAAAAGCCCCAGAAATATGTAAACAAAATTATCACAAAATGAAACTCCATTAACTAACTAAATAAATAAATAAATATATCTTGAATTAAATAAAAAAAATTTGAAATGAATTCAAATAAATCTTGAAATAAATATTTAAAAAAAACAAATCTTAGAAAAATCCAAACATTTTCTATTTTAATGTCATGGGAACATTTATTTATTTATTTGAATATTTATTAATATTTTTTTAAATAACACTTATTTATTTATTTATTAAATTTTGAATGAAATGGATCTCCATATTTAACAGCCATTACGTACACCGCAGATGTACAGAAATACTACATCAAACTACTCAAAACTAAAAAAAAAAAAAAAGCTTCTAACGTTTACAAAATAATAAATAATTGTCTCTAAAATGTCTTTAAAATATACAGGATACAATTAAATAATATTTCAATCAGCATTACCTGTGAATAGAGGAGAAAGAAGCACTAGTTATTTTAAGTTGCTTCCTCTCTCAGCAGTTTAATGGAATGAGGAGAGCGCATCCGCCCCCTAGTGGTGAATATGGAACTAACCGTCAATCCCAGAAAAGGCTTTCTAGCTGATTACTCTACTGGATTACTGTATGGATTGCAATTTCCTTAAATTAAACAATACTAACATTAATGCAACATGAAAAATAGTTTGCAAACAATTTTAAATCGTTTATAGACTTATGTGGAAAATGAATTAATATTTATTCTAAACCATTTTAATGTTATGAAATCAACAAATAATAGTTCTTCAACCCTGCATGCCAATGTGAAATAGTTTGCTCTGCTAGGCCATGTTGAAAAATTTGTATGAGATGCAACACACTGTTGACCATCTGGAGGAGCAAAAACACTGAGAGTGAGGCAGAGAAGCTCGCTGGCTTAAGGGAAGCAGAGTGATGCATATAAACCAAACCATTGATCTCCCCCCTGCAAGCTATAAATGCAAAACAATTTCAAGAGAGCCCTCTGTAGATAATCAAAGGGGTCACTTTTCTTCTTGGCGACCATAATGCAATCTTTCTGCACTGATAATGGCTGTCTTAGGGGGTGAATGTAACCACCAGCCATGATGAAAGAGATTTAAGGTCTCTGAAAGTCACCCCTTCCCATGGATCTAGTTTTAGAGAATCAGTTTTCCCTTCTATGGCTCATGTGGAGAAAATTGCATCCTGCATTTGGAGATAAGTTGAATGTGTTACACAGACAAAAGCAGGAAACTATCTGCTTTCTTATACTTTTGAAGTATTATGTGATTTTAAAAGAAGGCTTCATCTTCATCCATCTATTATCTTTACCCTCTTTGTCCTTTCTGGGTTGCAGAGAGCTGGCGTCTATCTCCAGCAGTCACTGAGCCAGAGGCGGAGTACACCCTGGACAGGTTGCATCATGTCCATCACAGGGCCACGTAGAGACAAATAATCATTCACACTCACTCACACCTACAGATAATTTGGAGTAGAGACGTGCCGTTCATGAACAATTCAAATCCTTTTCAAAATGAACAAAGGGAACTGTGTCTAGGAGAGCTTATTTTCTATTTTTACTTTCTTGCGTTTTCCTCCTTAGATGCAAAATTACTCATTTGATTTGATGAAAATGAATCAAGGAGAATAAGCAAACAGGAGGAGTGCAACAGTTGTCAGATATGGCAACTATGTCAGGAGGAGGAGGTGTTAGCATGCTTGAGAAGTCGTGTGGTATGGTTCTACTGCATTATATACAGTCATGCGTAGTGACGTGACTAACCATCTAAAATTGAACCATTATTTAAAACGGAACAGATCTACCACTTCTGACTCTGTTCAAAGCACCATAAATCCCACCTCTAATTTAGAATTACCAGTCAACCTAAAATACTTTTTTTTTTTTTTTTAATTATGTGAGAGGAGTACCCGGAAAAGAAAAAAAAAAAAAAAATGCACGTATGAAGAGAACATGCAAACTCCACCAAGAAAGGCCTCATGCTGGGAGATGATCCTTTGACCTTCCTGATGTGAGGCAACAGCTCTAATCATTGCTCCATCATACTGCTCGTGATTTTTTGTGTGAAAACCAAACTATTGACTGTGAGAAGCCATTTTCCCTTACACCCGTTAATGACAATTAAACCTTTCAGTGCAGCCATATAAAAAACAGTGGTTTTGTTATTTTTGTCGGTTTGTTGTGTTCTGTACACCATTCCTTTATGTTTGAATGGATCTCTAGAAGTCATGAACATTCAGCAATGTAATCAAATTAATCAGTCAGATATTTATTAAACTTTTAAAACACGAAGTGTAACGTGGTGGTGGTGCGTAGGAGAGCTAGCTTAGCATTAGCAGCATGTGCTCCAGCGTAGCTTGGAACAGAGCGACAGAACGTTGATTCCCACTTGCAGTTTACTACATAACTTAGAAAACCATACAATACTAAGTCTCCAGGGCGCCAAGTCTGATATTCATACATGAATATATAGAGAGTATAGTCCGTATATCCTTCACCACTCGTTACTGAGGTTGAGCGGAGCAGCTAAAAGTGTACACACTGTACAGATCCCAGCTACACTACTGACTTCTATAATGAGTTATGACATATCAAATAGAGCTGTCAATTCTAACCTGAACCCGGAACCCTGCACCGCCCAACCCGGATTCGAAGTGGCTCAAGTCGTAATAATGTGCTTAATGTGCGGACTGGGCCGGTGTTGGGCTTTTTATTGCATCAAGGATGCGCCAATATATGCAAACATGGCTTGCCAGAGTACACTTGCCGCACGTGGCCATTTCACTGCACATTGACCAGCTGGTTAAAAGAGGTAAAAAGTTCTGCTATGCTTCAGGTGGACTACTGCTAGCATCGGCCCAAATTGACGTTCATTCAGCCGCTGCACTCAGCGAATGTGCGCGGCCGACAACCCAAACAGGTGAGATCACAAAACATCTGACATGTCAGAGCAGGGTCCAATGCAGGCAGAAACAGGGGAAACATTTAATGCACTTTGATGGTTCCTCAGCTCCACTCTTGTGTTTTCTTTTGCTGCATCGTACTCAAACTGTGGTATTCCTGGGTAAAAACATGCTGGATTTTATTGAAGTAACACTTACAAGTGTAGTGAACTTAATCTGGGGTCAAGACTAAGCCTAAGGTCAAAACTCTTGACCTTAAGAACCTTGTGGGACAGGAACTGTCATTTCATTGATTTGAATCCAGAAATACAGGTTCACCCATCCTGAGACTCTCTTTCTTGAAAATTCAAGTGAAAAGAACACTCTCTTTTTTATTATCATTACTATTTTACAAATGTTGATAATCAAAGTGTCTTAGTTCAAACCATTTTAGATGTTGCAGTGAACTAATCAACTTTATTAACTGTGAAACAGTGTAATGATTTTTGATTGCTTATGCAGAGTTAGAATTCATGTTAAGGTCTGTTACAGATTTTTATGCATTTTCTGACTTCTGTCTTCGAATGAGCAAGTGTACGTTTCCAGGGTCAGGAATCGAAGCAGACATGCGGTGGAACAACTGTCTTGTTTATATCCTCTCAGACGTCAACAGAGGGGGTTTTGGCACCTGTTTCTAAAACTCGCCAAAACAAAACTCTCTCTGTCTGTGAGAACATTTCTGATCTGTTCCATAACAATTCTTGCTGCATTCTAACCTTTTACGTCACAAAACACACCCCGTCTGGTCGGTTCTGGCCAATGGGAATACTCCCGTATGAACCGGGAAAAGAGCTCTTTAAAATGTCGGTACTTCCTGGTCTAACCAGTGCTGTGAGGGTTCTACTCGGTTCGGTTGAGTTCAGTTCTGTTCAGTTCTGTGCGGAGAAGCCCAGTTCTGGGAGCCGGGAAGATCCTGACATGACAACAGAGCTCTTCCGAGTTTCATGGGATTATAACATCTTCACCGAGGTGAGCTGTGGCGGACAGTCTCGCCATTACTTCGGACGAGTAACAGCATCCTACGGAGACGCTGAAGGGTGCGTTAAACGGAATCTCGCCTGAGACATCTCCAGGTAAAAGAGTCGATTTCACCACCTAAGTGTACTGTAAGGAAAAGCTGAAGAAAGCCCGGAGAGTGCCGTTCTGTCAACACTCCCTCAAACACCATCTTATTCCCTCTAAACTTCTTTCCCATCTTTAAACTCCTCTCTCAAGTAGAAATTCTTCCAGATATTTAGAAATGTCTGTGTAAAGTGCTCATCCACCGCCGTGTGGGTAAAAGATCATAATTGTACAGTTTTCATAAATGTCTGTGGTGACGCAACGGAAAAATCATGGCCGTATGATTTTTCCTGATTGATTGCTTATGTTGTTATTTTCATAATTTGCCAAATTAATGTAAATGTTTGATGTTAAACTTTGATTCTGTAAATAAATGACCGCATTCATTTTGATGGGTCAAATATAAATGACGTCTCACGTTTGCATTTCATTAAATTCAATGCACGTTTTATTCAGTTCAGAAAAATGAGGAATCCGTGTTAATTGATGAATATATCTGAGCATCTGTTCATCTACACAAGCAACATGGCAAAAGATCGCACATGTTGAAGCTTGGAGATAAAAACCATTTTGGCACAAGATCATACAAGCAATAGCCAGTGAAGAATGATTTAAACCACCTTATGGAAGGAAACTTAAAGAACAACAAACAACACTTAATTTGTAATCCAGCCTCTAATTTAGCAGGTAGTCAGGAGAAAATAATCCTAACAGGGAACAAATACAGTATTATCTGTGTATATTTTTAGCAGGGAACATCATTATACTATGGGAAATGCCTTTTCTTGTTGGGATTTGGAGTCTGCAGGAGCTGCTTTGAACTGCCATGTTGTATTTGTTTAAACCAGAGTTTACACATCAGAGACGTGGGGAATAAAGTCCCACCTACTCCCTTATGACTTGACAACTCTTATTAGTTCACATGATTAAATTAAAGAGTCAGTCTAAGAAGTTTGTTTACACAAGAGGAACTTGTAGCAGCCTATAGAGTCTGTGGGTCCTCTTCCAGCCTCAGTTCTTCCATATTTGATCCGTAGGAATTAAACTTTGTTTTAAATCAAAGACTGCATGAAAAAAGTGAATGAGGTAAAGGGGAAGTGCACATTTCTTTCTGCTCTAAAGCACAAACTCATGTGAAAAGATTGAGGCAATAGATAATATTCATAAAAAAAAAAAACAGACTGCATAAGCAGATTTTATCCTTTCAAAACCTGATTTGTGTCTACAACTAAACTACGTGTTAAAAATGTTTAATTTGTATTGTAATGCAGTCTCATATTGAGATAAACCTGCTTTTATAGGCTAAAGTAAAAATATGTTATTTTAGTTAAAAACTGCATGTGCCCTCCACTTCATAGATAAAATGGTAATTCAACAAAACAATGACTTGTGCTTCCCCCTGAAGCATTTTTGCTCCCAACATTAACAAAATAAGAAATAAAACTATTTTATTAAAAGACTGACAGCTGCTGTTTTACAAATGGAGACCACCAAATACACACTTTCAACAGTACTCATAATAAGCAGGACAAATGGAGAGTTTGATATTTAATTTGTTCAAGACTTTTCTAATCAGAATTACCAGATCATTTGTCCATGAAGGCTGCAGATTCTGGACATGTCTGTCATCAAATACATCCTGAAAAATACAGATGTTTAAAAAACATGAGAATATTTAGGAGTAAACAAAAAACCTCATGCCTTTTATTTTAGTTGCTTTAGGATAAAATGCTGCACATCTAATGCATGGTATGAATCATTCCAGCTTGGCATAACAATGTAAAAATAAAATGCTCTATAATGGAAAAGTGATGCATCTGTATAATTATTCATGAGTGGATTGCAAAGAAACAATCCCCTAAGAATCCTTTTGTACTTACTGAATAAATGTCAATCCTGCAGTCTTTTCTGACAGCCGTCACACAGCTTCGAACATGAATTGCAAAAGCTCAGCATGGACTCAAATTTATATTGAACACTTGCCAAATATCACATTATTACTCACAAATTCCTTTGAACTTTAAGAAAGATGCAGTCACACACCTCTTGGCATTTACCTTCAAAAGAAAAAAAAAATGATTTTTTTTTTCTTTTCCACAGTTAAGAATATTTCAGACGTTTCTCTTTTTTTTTTAAGACTGGGGTGGAAACTATCAAAAGCTACCTTTCTTTAATGTCTTCAGGCGCTGACCGCTGTTGAAGTTCCATATATTTAAGCATCCATTTCTTCCACCTGTAACGAGTCTACAACCACAACACTCCATGAAGTAAAACCAAATAAATTCTATAAAATATTAAACTACTATCTAAACTGTACCTGAACTAGTTGACTTTACTAGAAACTCGTGAGGAAACCCGTTGCCTTAAACCATTCTAGGTTTTACACAAAGAAGAAACTAAACATGTTTAGTTGTGTCAACTTAGAACCTCAGTACAATGTAGTAAACATATTTAGTCTTTACTAAAATTGATTAGTCCTCATAAATTTCTTCCTAGTTGTATAAAATTATTTTAAGCTAAACTTACATAACCATATAAAGCAAATAACCAATAGGACATTTAAAGCTACTAATGTTTTGTTAAAATAATAACATTTACTCTAATGTAATTAAACCTTTGATCTTCAAATGGTATTGAATGCAACATAAAATTTTACAAAAGAGAAGAAATCAAATATAAAGATAAGATGGAACTTTATTGATACCGTAGGAAATTGTTGTGCCAGAGTTTCAGTACAAAGGAGCATACTGTATGTTCTGCCGTAAACGTCACACCGCCCTATAAGTCGCATCAGTCCAAATTTGTCTGAAGTGGAAAAATCCATAAATATGTCGCTTTGCCGTATACGTCTCTTCTATTATCTGTCACCACTGATTCGTCACATTTGTTGCGCGTCACCACTGACAACCCAGAAATGTGGGAAGGTGTTGTGCCAAAAATCGATTGGCTGCCAAATGGCGGCCGCAGGAGCATGCACAGGAGGATTTTAACAAGAATTTAACAAGATTAACATTTAAAAGCAATTATTTGTTTGCTCAAAATTATAGTAAAGATGTGTCTCAGTCTAACTTTTGCTTGATAAAAGGACTTCAACGGTCAAATCAACTGTATTTCAAAAGCCGATACGAGGAAGTAAGAATGCGCAGAGGGACGAGTCGCTGCTCATTTCTTCAAAATTTAATAAGATAACCGCCGTGGACCGCTTCCGGGTCTGTTTTATGCCGCTCCTGCGGTGACTGTGAGAACGAGGGCCAAGAGTGGAACGGAGCTCGTCCTCCGGCTCAGCGTCCTCCCCCGATGTCCACCCCGAGAAGATGAGAGGTTCCGGAGACGAGGAGAAACTCTGCTGGGAGGTCAGGTGGCCTCCCCGGAGCTGGGACCTTCTTTTTTTTGTTTCCTTCAAGTACCAGGAGGGGTGAAGGTAAGATCTCTATCCTGGCTGTGTCATCCTCGTGTACGAACAGGTTCAGACCGAAACCTGCTGCACCAGATCATGATCTCCCCCATCTGCATGGGCTCGAGCATACCAGTGGGTGAAGCCGAGGGGGACCTGCCTGCCTGATTCTGGTGTGGTCGGTCCTTACTGTCAGGAGTTTCAAGTGGGCAGAGCAGGAAAGAACCCATTGTTGCAGGCAGGACTCGAAGGCAGGATGTAAAATAAGAAATACTTTAATAATAACGAAAAATAAACAAGCTGGCGTGGCAGCATAAACTTACACGAACCAGGACATGGAAATCTCGAGGAACACAAGAGGATACCAGACAATGGACCGACAAAGACTGAGACACAGACCAGGACTTATATACACAGACTAGTCGAGACAACTTACAAACACCTGGAGGACACATGGGTGGAATCAGGGTAATTAATGAGAGACGGACACAAACTGACAGAGGGATACCATCCTTACATCTTTAAAGATGATCTTGTTAAAAACCTTTTTAGCACCATAATAGATAAATTTATTAAAACACCTGGTTTTTCTTGTCCATTTTTGTCAATACTTGTGTCAAAAAATGTCCTATGTGTAAATAATTTACACCCTTTTTCCAGGAGAAGTAGAACTTTCAAAATCTGTCAAGTATTTACCATTCTTGTGTAACTAAATGCCTAAAACTGTGTGTTATAAGAAGAACACAAAAAAAGCATTGAATTTTCTTCAACTTTCTTTTTATAGATTCTTGAAAAATGCAGATTGAATTAGATTTTTGCAATCTCAGAAATTGTCAAACTATTTTACGTGTTTTACATTTCTGAAGCTTTCTGAGTCCATGTTACAGGCTGGTATATTTGTGAATAGCCAGGCGTTTTTTTTATTTTAGCTGTGGTAATTTCGGAAACAATTCCTGTCCACCTGAAGACAGAGATCCACATGACACACCCCAAGGTGTGCTTCTGTGGCACAGAGTGCACTTTTTCCTTCCCAGCACTGTATTTTCTCTTGTGCACTCATTTTTGCAGGTTGGGATAGGGAAGTGGTCTTGAGTTGGAGGACGAGGTGGGCCGGTCAGTGGCACGCCGATTAGGTGGGCACTCAGCTCCTTCTGGAAAGCCTGGCGTGTCATGGCCTTCTGCTGCTGTGCCTTGCTGAGCTACTTGTGCACAATGAAACTGTGACTGCAATGTCCAGCAGGTGCTGAAAAACAGCCATTGGACATCTTTTGGTTTTCCTGTGTATGTTTGTTCCCAACATCTGGTCAGAGGTATCCACACCCTCCATGTATTTGTTGTATTCAGCCACTGCTGTAGGCCTGGGTACGGGGATCCTCTGACTTTGCCCATCATTGCCCTTCTGCTACCGCAGGGCAGTTTCCCCAGTGTAAAGAGGATGGACAGTGGTGCACATGGACACTTCCCTGGTTGACAAAGAGCAACTCACTGTTACGTATCCATCAAATGGAGTCTCTTTTTGATTTTTTGTTGAGGGCATTTTCTTGGGTTGTGGGGACACCAACGGTTGACAAAGAGCAACTCACTGTTACGTATCCATCAAATGGAGTCTCTTTTTGATTTTTTGTTGAGGGCATTTTCTTGGGTTGTGGGGACACCAACCCTGCCCTGGCGGTAAGTGCCACACGCTCCAAACCCTTGTTGGCTCAGATAATGAAAAAGAAGAGGGCTGGTGTAAAAATGTCACAGTACACTATATAGCCACTGCCCAGGTAGACTTTCTTCACAAGCTCTGTGACCACATCGAAAGAAAGCCCCTTCCCTGAAGCTGCATTGGTCTTGCCAGTGTAGAGCTTGTAATCTAGTGTAACCATCAGCCGGCACAAAGAACTTTAGCCCCCACTTTGTCAGCTTGTCCCTCGTATACAGTTTGACTTTTATCCGGGCTTTAGTGGCAACCATCCTTTCATCTACAGAAATATGCTGCTTTGGATGATAAACACTTTTGCAGCTTGTTCTAATCATCTCCAGGAGAGGTTTTAGTTTTTGGAGTGGGTCATACTCTGTTCCCCTTTTCTCCTCATTTGCTGTATCATCACTCATATGAAGGTTGCTAGTGATAACAGTGAACGTACTTCTGGACATCACTGTAGCGGGGAAGGCCACGTGAAATATAGTTGTTTTTGTTTGTGTTCACCAAAAATTCTGACATTTTGGGGTAATTGCAGCAACAAGCTCAGGTATTTTTTTAGTTCTTCGGGCATGAGTTCAGTCCATCTGTCTATCCTCCTTCCCATGGCCTGTTTCTTCCAAACATAGTTATTGGTGTTGGCACATATAACTTTGAGGACCTCTTTGTCAAAAAACAGAGCAAAGATGTCACCTGGTGCTTGGTTAAGTGCAGGCTGTACACCAGGGCAACGTTTGGGGGCGAATCGAGGTGGGTGAATGTTGTGAGTGTTGGGGTCTGCCTCTGTTTTCTAGCAGATTGTTTCTTGAGGCCTCAACAGTGACCGGGTACGTGCAAAACCTCCAGCAGCATGAACTCCACGGCGTTGGCCCCAGACGTGATTCCTTCCACGGTTGTCTGGCCCTTCATCAGAAGGATTTTGTGGTTGAGAAGGTGACAGAGAAGACATGGCTCCTGTTCATCTTCCTCAACAAGTCTCCTGGGGGACTCTCTTCTCTCGTGTGCTCTTCCTTGAAATTTCCTCTTATATTCACAAACCGACCAAGAAGAAAATGTCCAAAAATCACAGTAGCAAAAACTACAAAAAAAAAACGGTAAAATCATAGCAAAAAACCCAGCCAAAATATGGCAAAAACACAGTGAAAAACCTGCAAAGATTGCAAAAACAATAAAATCTCTTCAGGAAAAAAAAAAACTATAACTATTATTTACAAGATTCTGATTTATTTACACAGAATATACCTCTAAAACTTAGCTAAACTCCAAGAAATCGCACCAAAAGTTTGATTGGATACTGCCCCCGTCACACAAACACCTGCAGCTGCTGCTCATTTTTCCCCTCTCTCCACATGGCACTCAGTCATTACTGTAATGCATGTAAAGCATCAGAAAGCCCCGTTTCACAGCTTTCAGGGGCAGTTTGAATGATTAAAATTGCACAAAGTAGCGAGGAGTTACGGTAATTTGACATATACATGAGCCGCGGTGTCACCGGTGACCCCTGTTTTAATAGATGTTTTGTTTTGATTTGATCTGATTAATCTCTGCTTAACAAAATCATTACACTCTGTAGTTTAGCAGAAAAGTACATTTGATTTAATAATGAATTCAATTCATTTCAGTTTCTTTATTTAGCGCCAAGTCGCAACAGAAGTTGTCTCAGGGAACTGAACAGAAATATTCATATATAAAATAAGTTAACAGAAACATTCATATTTTAAAAATAATAATTTAACATTATTTATGTGAGGAGCAGACTGCTTTAAATTTAACACCATTGCAGAACTCTCATCTTGAGCAAGCATGAAGGCGACAGTGGAAAGGAAAATCTCAGGAGGAAGAAACCTTTAGCAGAACCAGGCCCAAGACAACATTTTTACAAAACACTAAATAATAATGAATGATTACTAAAAAGTTTAAATACAATTAATATCAGGGTTAAGATTGTACCTTCTTCCTTTGGGGTCAAATGCCATGCAAGTGACGGAGGTCAGATCATCTGTGCCGAGAAACTCAAAAACCTGACGTCCAGTGGTAACGTCCCAGACTTTCACCACCTAAAACCAGTTTTAAAACAAACTAGAGAAATTGCATTTCCTGCAAAAATGCAGTGTGAACGCTTATTGCTGAAGAACTTGTAGAAAAACAGCTGAAATTTGATTAAAAAAACATGCTGAATTGTAGCTGAAATGTAAAAACGGGCCTAAATTAGCAGATGAAAGCAGAAAGACCACACATCTACTTAATCATGTTTCAATAAGCAGCAATGAGCACAAAATCAGGAAATTTGCTAAAAAATAGCTGAAATTAGCAACAAACAAACAGAGAAGTATCTGAAAAGGCAGCTAAGAAGCTTAAACTACCAGAAAGAAGCAGAAAGAGTTAAATGAGTGCCAAAAAAAAAAACTAACAGAAAAAACTTAAAGGAGCATGGTGAGCTGAAATGAGCAGAAATGACCACGAAAAACTAGAATTTATCTGGAAACAGCTGAAATTAATGTTAAAAAGCTAGCTGAAAATGTAGAACAAGCTTAAATGAACAAGAACACGGAAAAAACAAGTTTACCCAATTAGGCTGAAAGAAGCAGAAATTAGCACAAAAACGCATCTGAAAAAACGCTTAAATGATCAAAAAACAACTGAAAAGTAGCTAAAAAGTCAGAAAGAAGTGTAAATTACCAGAAGAAAGTGGAGAGAGCACATTTTTCCTGAATTAGACTGAAAAAAGTTGAAATTAATGCAAAAAATGTGGAATTAGCTGAAAAAGCTAAAATTAGCATAAAACAGCTAAATGGTAGCCAACATGGCAGAAAACGTTGAAACTTACATAAATAGGTTGAAAAGACTAATAAGCTGAATTTAGCAGAAGTTAAGCACAAAAATGGTTCAGTTTAGCAGAAAGAATCTGAAAGCAGCACAAAATAGCTGAACAAACAGCTGAAAGTAGCTGAAAATAAGTTTAAATTTGCACAAGGAAGCTGAAAGAAGCTGAACCGGAACGCTTCTGAGGGAGGGGGGAACTGGGAGCCTCCGCGGCTGGAGGTGGGGCCTGGGGGTCCGGAATAAGACCCGCAGGACACACACTGACCAGCAACACTTCATAAACATTCACGCAATGAAACAGTTTTAATGCTGATGTAGTGAAGTTGTTGTAAAGCACTTGTTTAACTCAGAAGCCTCGCTGCAGCTCACCACCTGACCAAAGGCTTTACTGTAACCACAACACGTTACAGGTTCATTATGGGAAATGTTCATGTGCCTGTTCAGCCATGGCCTGACAGAGGGAAAACATCACAGAACCAATGAAGTGACGTTTTATATTAAACAGAACATGAGTCAATAATATCTAAAGAAACCTTTTAGAAACCGGAGTGTCAAACTTCTAAACAGAAAACATCTCAAAACATCTGTTGTGCTAGATTTGTTCTTTCATATTTTCACAAACCACCACCCTTAAACTGCTTTTTAAGAAAGCTTTTCAAAGAGCTTGATGATCTAGGAACAGAAATGAATCTAGTGCAAAGGCAGAACAAACCAACCTGGACTTCAGTGGGAGGACAGACATCCAGTCTGCTGCCACATACAGACATTTTAGAGCAGCGTTATAGAAGCATGCAGATACGTCTCCATGAATCCTGCTGGCGCTGGGCTCTGCTGTGAACAAGCAACACTGATCCTCAATGTGCCAAATCTGAAAAAAGAGAAGGAAAATAGCCATTCTATGTGTTCTCTAAAGACAGCTGGCTGTGGCATGCATTTTGATTTAAGTCGGCTCCAAAAGTTAATCATTTGTTGACATCCATCCAGTGATTATTTCCTGAAAGTTTCATTAGCATCTGTCTAGTGGGCCATGAGATATTTTGATAACAGACAAAATGATTAATTGCAAAGTTTTAAACAAGGATCTTGTGCAATCTGTTGGCACCCAGAATATATGTTGGGGATCAGTCTAAGCTGCCACCTCACCAAATTTTTCCGTAATTTTCCTTAAAATTGATTAAATTATAATGATTTTTGTGTTTTATCATGTTAGTTGGCTGTGGCAGCCATCTTAAATTGGATTGACTCCAAAAGTGACCAAGTTATAGATGTTCATATTATTTTCTGTAAGTTTCATTAAAATTAATTTTGTGGTTAATGAGATATTTTAATAGCAGACAGACACATGCACACACAAAGACCTGGGAATAAACGCTTTCAGCGGCAGGTAATAATAATACTAATGTCTGTATTTTAATCTGTTAAATAATGTATTAAACTTGTATATTGTTATAAATAAAAAGGTCACAAATCACTTTTACAGTGGCATCAACGGTGAGAGAGAAGATCCAACTGTCCTCTGATGAGATACAGAGGGAGAAGATGGGAGCAGAGTGGCTTTTCAGTACACCGGTTGGTTTCCTAAAGGAAAAAAAAAGTAAATCAGAAGAAAAATAGCTTTTTATTTCAAGGATTCTTGTCTCCTTAAAATATTTTGCTAAATGATGATTCCTCACCCTGAAATATGGGGGTTCCACAGGCGTATAATTCTGTCCATGCCTCCAGTCACCAACAAATGTAGCTTCGGACAAAGGTCAAAGGTCTTCACACCTTTGTGGACAGAGAAAATGGTGTGATCGCGCGACGCACGGACCTGTGGAGTCCGGCCTAGCTGGCTCTTCCCGGTTCTGCCCTCACAGCAGACCTCCCTGATCTCCTTCAGCTGCAGTTCAGAGTCTGTTGGAGGCAGCACGCAGCCTCAGGAGGGCAAGAATAAATAAAAGTGTTACATTAGAGGTACTAGCATCAATCAAACGTGCTTTCAGGGGAAGGGTAAGTCATTATCGGAATTAATGGCCAAGCCTGCCAGTAAACATGCAAGGTGATCCCACACACACACAAACACACAAAAATCGATTAGTGAATTTGTGATACATGAGTAATCATGAGTCATCACTCACAGCTCTAAAGCCAGCATACCTAACATTTCACACTGAGTTTAATTACAGCGATTTAAAGAAAAACATTGATTGTAATTTTTTTTTTTTTTTTTTTTTTTTACAATCATTTTCCAGATGCATTGTCTAACTCCTTACGAAGACTGGGTGTAGGACAGAAAGCTGCTGAGTGTGCATTTTAAGTCCTTGTGTGCAAAATTACAATCTTTCTTTTGGTGCTGAAAACATGCAATAAAAATAAATAAATAAATAAAAATGCCCCAAGTCAATATGAACAAAAATTACCTATGACAAGAGAAGAAGATTCTTCATTCGATGAGGAGACAACAGCTCGGAAACTGTGAAAATACGTTGCCTGTTTTGGGGAAAACAATCATGTAAATGGAAAATGTTAACTCAATAAAATGCTAAAAATGTGTTACCATCTACATTCGTACGACAAACCAAACACAGATTTATGTAGTAGTTGTGACATGACCCACATCTAAAGTATGATACATTCTTCTTTTATCAATGTTTTCTAACGGGGGCATTTTAAAGAAAATTTAACTGTTTCATATTCTTCAGAGCAAATATGAATCAAAAGTCATTGCCAAATCAAACACTGACATTTTGTTTGAAAATACAATAATTCATTGCAAATTCAATGGATCTGAGTCAAAGTATCTAATCCTGTCAGCTTAATCTCTACTGAACGCAAACTTGAATTCAAATCTCATGCCGTGCAAGAGGTACCAACTTTTATTATGGTGTGGGGCGCGAACTGTAGCTTTTTAGCTAGCACGTATGTATTGCGCCAGTAGCTTAGTGCTATGTCTGTGTCAGCAGTAGGGTGGCACGGTGCTCTGTTCTGTTGACAGGGCGGTAAAGCTGTCATTTCTAACCCAAAGCCCGGCCCGGCCTGACCCGGATTTGGGCCGGGCCATAATAATGTGCTTAATGTGTAGGCCGGGCCGGTCTCGGGCTTTGATGCGGTTTTACAAATCATACAGCACAAAGAAAAGTAAATTAAAAACAATACAAAATTGTGTTAATCTACAGTAAGTTTACTGATTAAATAAATAAAAGAGTGCAGCAGTAAATCAGACAGACTGTGAAAAGAGAGTAGCGCTGGCACATTGCACAGCAATTATGCAAGGCTCCGCCCACCCTGCTTTGCTCCGCCCACCCTGCTTTGCTCCTCTTATGACGCATCGACATGTTGGGCTTTTTAGTCACATCTCTAGAACCGTTTTACCGTGCACAGAGAGAACTGGAGGGTGACAAATGTCCCACTATCAACCTTGTTTGCCTCTGGAATGAGAAACTGCAGCAACACAGTCCTCACACACGTCCCCACACGTGCGCCACAGACATGCAGAAGTACTGAAGCGCAAACTCATTTTCCACGACTTGCACAGAGCTGCACTTTTCCTGTGGCCTAATTTTAACAAACTTAAAATGATGACACCTGCTGATGTGTGTCAGGTGCACGCTCACGTCTGCACCCTGCTCTCAGCTGGCTGCACAATAGACCAGAGGAGGAACCGACTGCTCTCAAACCTGCTACACTGGACGAATATTGTTCTTACATGTAAAACATGTTACAACATGTAAAACCATGTAAGTAGAACACAATAACTTCTTGACAGATTTTTAAATATACTTATAATTTTGTATTTAGACAACTTTTGATCTAATTCCAGCTTTAATTCACCGGTGCAGAGCCAAAGAAACGAGGCTGTGTGGCTGATATGACTGTCTACGACCCAGCGCAAAATAAGCCAGCTCGCTCCATCCATCCATCCATCCATCCATCCATCCATCCATCTTCCGCTTATCCGGGGTCGGGTAGCAGCTTAAGGAGGGAGGTCCAGACTTCCCTCTCCCCAGCCACTTGGGCCAGCTCCTCTGGAAGAATCCCGAGTTGTTCCCAGGCCAGCCGAGAAACATAGTCCCTCCAGCGTGTCCTGGGTCTCCTCTCAGTGGGACATGTCTGGAACACCTCACCAGGGAGGCGTCCAGGAGGCATCCTAACCAGATGCCCGAGCCACCTCAACTGGCTCCTCTCAACGTGGAGAAGCAGCGGTTCTACTCTGAGTCCCTCCAGGATGATCGAGCTTTAAGGGAGAGCCCAGACACCCTGTGGAGAAAACTCATTTCAGTCGCCTGTGTCCGTGGTCTCGTTCTTTGTGTCACAACCCAAAGCTCATGACCCTAGATGAGGGTAGGATCGTAGATCGACCGGTAAATTGAGAGCTTCGCCTTTTGACTCAGCTCGCTCTTCACCACGACAGACCGGTACAGCGCCTGCTTCACTGCAGACGCTGCACCTATCTGCCTATCGATCTCTAGCTCCATTTCTCCCTCATTTGTGAACAAGACCCCGAGATACTTGAACTCCACCACTTGGGGCAAGACCTCCTCCGTGACTCAGAGAGGGCACTCTACCCTTTTCCAGCTCAAGACCATGGCCTCGGATTTGGAGAAACTAATTCTCATCCCGGCCGCATCACACTCGACTGCAAACCATTCCAGTGAAACCTGTAGATCATGACCTGATGAAGCCAATGGGACCACATCATCTGCAAAAAGCAGAGATGTGATCCTAAGGCCACCAAAATGGATCCCCTCAACGCCTTGGCTGCACCTAGAAATTCTGTCCATAAAAGTTATGAACAGTTGTACTTTGTATATATGCACTTTTTATTTTGTTCATGTTTGTGCAATTCTTATTAATATATATTTTTGATCATTTTATTGTTTATCACTCCCATTATTTTTGCAATTCAAGACTGCAATATATTGGTTTTCGGCTACTTTTATTTTTTCAGCCCTCCATCATCCATCCATCCATTATCTTTACCCGCTATGTCTGTTATTTGTTATAGATATTTTGTGTATTAGCATAATCATTGTTGTCGAATTTAGGCCTTTTCAATTTATTTTTCATGCACACACCAGTTTTATTCTGTGGTGTAGTGTGGGTGTATGTTAAATCGCTCTGTCATCAGCGACAGCATGACTCAGCTTAATTTTGTAATATTTGCTCAATATATTGTATTTCTGTTATGATAAGCTTGAAACTCAAAAGTGCTTCAGCTTCAACTTGATTTAAAAGCTGCGTCTGTGCTTCAAATGAACAGAAACCAAGGAAATGTCACCTGTGTCACCCACTCATGATGAACCTTCCATCTGATGAACGTCACATCTGGACAAAGCACAGCACTCTCGATGGTGATGTTAGGCATGTTTTCAATCTTTGGTAATTTACTCCATATTCTATAAAAAGAGAAGTGACGTCCAGTCAGGTTTGAGGTAAAGATCATCGTCTGAGACGACTTCACACTCAACACAACAAATCTTTGATTGAAGAGGATGGCTGGTTAGCAAAGGTATAATTTTCCAAAACACAGCTGTTTGTGTGGACGTGGTGGCGTTGCAAATTTTTTTTTTTTTTTATATATATATATTTTTTTTAAAACAGTCATTTCTGGTAGCTAGTTTACAGCATTAGTCAAAGTTAAGAGCTGCTAATGAACCGTTTTGCTTCGTTCTCTAAGACTTTGAGAAAACTCCTACTGTAAGACACTTTTACATGTTTTGATACAAATTATTTATTTTTAAAACTATAAAATGTTTTTATTTTAGCTGAGTTAGTGATTTTTATCTACGAATGTACAGAATTTTTTTTTTTTTAAATAAAAGCTTTATTCATGTAATGTTCAATGACGGAGTCATAACATTTAACTAGTTTAATAATGAGCTTTGTGTTTCAGGCCTACCTTTTAAAGTTTTAGTTGTGTACATGTAGAATATATATATATTTTTTAACAACTAAAAGGAAGAACACTGTAAAGACGATATGTGTTAATATCTCGCACCTGTTTGTGGGTGGTTCAGGGTAATTATCTAAAACGTATCTTGTGTTGAGGTTGAAGACTGAGGTGCAGCCATTTAGTTTTTGACCAGAAATACACACTTGTACGTTGAATTGTGTTGGAAACTTAATTGGAGTGAAATAAAACTCAAGTTAATAAAACTTGGGCAAATTTGGGACTTTCAGAGTCAAACCCTTACAAAGACAGATAATTCACAGGGAATCAATGACTCACTAATCTCTTTGACACTTGCATCAATTCCTTATTTCGGACCATTTACACAAACATATATCAATTAAACAACACTTTTAGGTTTAATAAATGGTTCAAGCTGTCATCAGGTCAAAGCTAGCCCATAGACAAACGTTTTAATTCATCTTACAGTATATATCACATATAAAACACTTTACGCAAAACAAATACTGATACTTGGACAAAATGAAATAGTGTACAGTACTGCACTTACAGGAATATAAAATATTGCACTAAGTAGTTCAGAGGTTCAGTATCTGTTGATTGGCAGATGTAGCCTCTATATTATGGAGCCAGTTGCTGCTGCATGTGATACACACAATAAAACTAACTCCTGTTTGCTCGTTGCCTTTTAACTCAATTCATGAGTTCTTTTTATCATTGTTGCTAATTTGTCAGTTTTAATTTTCTTATCTTTTAAAATAAATTGTCTGTTTTTAAGGTTTTTTTTTTTAGTTTACAGGACTTCAGTGAGCAGCAAGTGTTTTATTTTATTCTTTCCAGTGCATCAGTTTTTATTTCATGTTTTTTGGAATATATTCAGGAGATCATAATGAAATAAACTTTTTCTGCAGATATTCATGACAAAAAAAAAAATCAAATCAAAAGTAAATTGAGATCATCAAGAATAAAATAACTCTTCCCTTTTATTCAATTCTTATTCTATGTCAATTTTATTATTGTATAAGTACAAAAGTTTTGTTGTTCCTTTTATATTTTTAGTATTTTCATTTTATTTCTTTCATAAGGACGTATAAGCACTTTTACCTCTCAACTTCTAAAAGCTATTCCCAAACTTATTGATCCCATATTTTTTTTTAAGCCAGCAGATGATTTTGATCAAACATGAATGTAAAATGAAGTCTACCAAAGTCTGGTTAAACATTCCACAATTAACCAGAATGAATAACCATTTATATAGAAAATGGAACAATAAAATAAATATACTAATTAGTAATTAATTGAAAAACTTACCGGAGGGTATCCTCAACAGAAGACATTAACATGATGTTCACACATCCCTGTAACACAAACACAGAAGCTGTCCCAGTGTCAGTGTTATCATATTTATTGTCACAAAAGGACCTACCTCAGCATCTCCATACAGAAGACAACATTTATCGTGTCCGGTGTAGCTGTATTGTAAGGAGAGAAAAATATATCAAACATCATGAAAAGTGGGAGCTCTTCTATGATGGTGCCGTTCTGCAGCTCACCTGTAGTGTAAAGTCAGAGGAATCGTGTCCAGGCCGTTAATCTGACAGTAAGGCTCCAGAGCAAACAGGTCATAAATTTGAATCTCTCTGTCCCTGAAGAACAATGAATTCAGGTACAATAAATGTGCACACAGCAGGGTGAAGCCTCGTGTTAATGGAAGGAATGAGCGCGCTCTGTAGATGCAATTAGAAGTCATACCCTGTTCCAATTATCAGCTTGTTGTACTCTGACATCAGAGTGAAACAACTAACCCACTTCGACCTTCGAATAGCAGGATCCTCACCCTATGGAAGCAAAAAATAAAATCAAATTAAAGCATAATAAGTAAGTAAATAACAGATAAATAATAAGTTTGAACATACAAACATGTGTTTGGACTGTTTGGGTTCCAGTTCAGGATGCCAAAGACAAATAAACCCGTCTTCTCGTACTGTTATCAAGGTGTCGTCATCGGTGGAGTGGATGTTGACAACTGGAATGCCCTGTCCATAATTATTTATGGTGGCTGGCAAACTAAAGGCCACCCGCTTGCTGCGTCTCACTGTTTCCTCCTTCTCCTTATACAGCTGCAGGACGTACGTGGAGAACTCACCCTGCATCACATCAGTGCCCATTAGACATTATAATATTTATAATGACCAGGCTTCAACTTTATAGTCTGAGAACTGCCATAAAGGTTGCAACAAAAAACAATATATATAATAACAATGAGGTTTAACCAGTTTCAATTGAGCTTTTTTACAGTTTAAGTGGACACATTTATCCTAAACCATAAAATCTTCATTTTTTTTTTTTTGGCAAATGTAAGAAAACCTTTCGCAACATGTCAGAAATCCCGTCTATAGGCGTCAGTTGCTACATGAAAACGGTGCACGGTCAACATTCAGCTCAAAAGGCTAAAATATTCTGTTTAGCAGCGTCTTTCAGTTCCACGTACTCCATAAATCTTGGCTGAATTATAGTTGCCAACCTCGCTGCATGTCACAGAGCCTAACCTTTTAACTACAGTTTATTTATGTTGCCAGGCATCAATTAGAAAGAAATAAAGTTTGAATGTCACCTCACCCATGAAATCCTCCCTTGGTCTGAGTAATCAATCTTTTCAAACAACCCATCGATCTGGGCATTGATCTGGAAAGTCCAAAGAACAAAACACAAAAAGATGTTTAAAACTATAACCTGCTCTTTGTGACAAACATGGTTTCATTTCATTGTGACGCTGATGATTGTCAGATTTATCTGCTCTTAAAATCTAACAGTTCTTGCTTCATTCTCCCTCTGTTAAAATGTCTTGATGATATCATGGCTTCAAATGTCTTAAGTTTTAATGATCAGAAAACTGAAGTCAAATGTTTGGCCCTTTAGCTCTACTGCTGCCTCTGATCCTGTAAACCTGGACTCTCTTCAGTCGTATCTTAAGCAGTCTGGTACAAATCTCTGGATGGTTTTAGACCCTGACTTTAAGTTTAATAAACAGATTAACTCTGTTCTACAAAAAAAAGCTTCTTCCAGTTAAAGCAGATAGTTAAGCTTAAGTCAGTGTTGTCCAGATCTGACCTTGAAAAAATAGTCCACACATTTGTTACAACCCGGCTAGACTACTGTAACTCACTTTATGTTGGGGTCAGCCAGGTCTCCCTTTCTTGTCTTCAGCTCGTCCAAAATGTTGCAGCTCGGCTCTTAACAGGAGCTCGTAGGTTTGATCATATTTCACTAGTTTTGTCCTCCCTTCACTGGCTCCCTGTGCGTGTCAGAATTGATTTTAAGATTCTCCTGTTGACCTTTAAGTGCCTTAAGGGTCTGCAACCTGCGGCTCTGGAGCCACATGCAGCTCTTTGGTCCCTCTGGAGTGACTTTTTCAATCTTTGACCAAAACTAAAATGAAACTGAAAGTCATTGGTTGTTGTAACAACTAAAAGGGTTAATTTTAGCAGTTTTCCTGTAATTTATTGTACAAATATATGAATACTAGAAACATTACAAGGAGTAAAACATACTCACTTTCACTTTAGGCTTTATTTCTTCAAAGTAGGATACGTAATTTTTCTACATTTAAAAAAGTTACATAGTTTTGTAGGGATTGGTCTGTTTCATGGATTTAGCCCCATCTTGTGTTGTGTTTTTTTGTCTTATGTCCTTCTTATCAGTTTCTGTTCTTCTATAGAGTTTGTGTTTTCCTAGTGTATGCTTCCATCTAGTGTTGTGTGTATGTTCCTGCACTCCCTGGCTTCCTGGTTTGTCATTTTCCCTGATGTGGTTCAGCTGTGTGTCCTCACAGGTGTTTTGTCTCGTTTGTCACTGGATATAAGTCTGTGTCTCTGTATTAGCCCTTTGTCCTGGCATTGTCTCTAGTCACCTTGGTCCTCTGCGTTTCCCACAGTTTATGTAAGTTTGCTGCCCCGTCAGCTGTTGTTTTGTTATTATTAATAAATTATTTTATTCATCTCCTGAGTCCTGGATTGTCTGCCTGCACCTCTGGGTTTACCCCTCACCAACCAACATTACAAGTTTAAAGCTTTAGTTTTTAGAAACTGGGCAAAAACTATATTATCTTTTCCTTCTTTACAAGAATGTTGTCTTTTACTTTGTCTTAGAGTATAAAAATATCAATAAATGTTAAAAATCTTTAGATATTTTTAGCTTTATAAAATCACCCCTACTGTCCAGAAAAGCGCTCTCCAACAAAATTAAAGTGGTGCGTGGGCCACCAGTTGAGAATCCCAGTCCTAGCAGGTATTGTGGCTCCGGAAACTTTTAATTTAGTGAACAAAGGGGCAGAAAGGGCTCTTTTGATCGTAAAGGTTGCAGACCCCTGCTCATACCTCTCTGACCTACTTCACCATATGTTCCTTCTCAGGTGCTGAGATCATCTGACCAGCTGCTTTGGCTGTTCCGAAAACCAGACTGAAGCTCAGAGGAGATCAGTCTTTTTCAGTCATGGCCCTAAACTCTGGAACAATCTGCCCCTCGGCATCAGACAGGCCACTCCAGTTTTTTTATTTAATTACTGCCTTGATTTTGTTTTTAAGCACTTTGGTAACAGCTGCTGTTTTAAATGTGCGTTATACATTAATTTGACTTGACTTTATAAAAACTTGTTCTTAATAGCCAGAAATGTGTGAAACCAAGAAGAGAGCTGAGAATGTGCGAGGAAAGTTATAGAGACAAACTATCTTACCGTGTTAGGCAAATCCAAACACCTTTTCAGTATACGTCCAAAATCCTTCACATCAATGCCTCTCGTATCATTCTTTTCAAATTCCTTTAAACCAACAAGAAGTATAATCAAATGTCAGCGATAACTTACCAGAGTATGTATGTGTTAATGTTTTCCAGTACCTCAAAAGCTAATTTCATTTTCTGAAGGTTGTCCAGAGAAAGTTGCTCATCAATCTTACAGAAGGAGAAGATAACTGGTTATGATGAGTTGCATTTAGGACCCAAAGTGCACATAAAATAATTAAAACAGATGTATTTCTTCCTATTTTTAGGCCCACTCAAAACCAGACCGTGCATAAAATATGAAGCACTAAAACAATAGATTTGGGTTGGAAATGAGATGAAACATTTTATTTTGAAATAATTTACACTAAATAAATAAAAACGCATATTTTGTACTTAACTTGTACTTATTCGAGACTCTGGAATACCCACATCAGAAGCACCACTCGGAAAACCGTATTATTCGTCTTAACTTTTATTTTTTTCCGTGGTTTCTTAGCAACTGGTCGGTCCTTCATCTATGAAGCTCTTTGATCTACCATTAATAAATAACAGGGATAAACAGCTTAATTCCTCAAGGATGTAACTGGAGTTGGAAGTTTCCTCACGGTACTTTCTGAATTGGTAAGATAACTGTTTAATCAGTCCAAGTCGTGGAGAAAGTGAGTGAAAGTGTATCTAACCTCAGCTGCTTTCCAAATCCCTTTTGGAAAGGATGCACAACTTTGAACTCCTGAGCTCCCTCTTGTTAATCTGTTATGGTGCATTGCTCCTTGCATTAAGCGGGGGGGGGGGGGGGGTGACTGACATCTGCATGCAAAGCCCAGAAACCTGAGCTATAGTGCATTTGCAGCACAGCCTCCTACATCATTCTATCATTCCTGTCAGCTTGAAAGCTCAAATTTGAATCTGCTGGAGACCTTTTAAGTATTTGGCTCAGGAGCTGTTTGTTTTACTTTGGCTTGAAGCTTTTTGGCTCTGGGAAAGATTGTCTTGCCTAACATACTGTCAGGCTGTGTGGAAGCTGTTCATCAGAACTTATTCAATTTGGCATTTTTGCATCACATTAATCCATTCATTTTGCTGCTGAGGCATGTGAAGCATACCAGTGACACCTTCAGGATAAAAACTGAAACTCCAGAAAGACAGTTTTATTGAACGAATAGCTTAAATGATACTAAATCAGTAAAATGCTTTTGTTAGATTCATCAATTATTTGGTGTTTTCTTCAATTTTGGATAGGCGTTTAAAAAATTGTACCTTAAGGGTCGAGCTTGAATGAACTTGAAGGTCAAGTTGAACTTTCTCTCCTGGTGTGACTGAATGTCTTCGCTTGTGTTTCAGCTGCTCTCGTACCAACCAGTCCGGCTGCTCCTCTCCGTCCTCGACACGTGAAGGTCGAGGGTCTGAGAGGTCTTCTGTTTTCACAGCTCGGCCCCCTGGTCCAGGCTTGTTCCTGATCCTCTGCCCTGCACCTCCCAGTTCAGAGAGGATGCTGCAGGATTTGACATTCGAACACTTCACAGAGCAGTCAGCACTGTAGCAAACGCTTGCAGGTGTTGTCATGTTAGCAAAATAACGTGTGAACCACTGGATGGATTTTAAAGCAACTTTCAAAAAATGTACTTCTACAATTAAACATTTTCAGTCAATGTAACTGCAGCCTTTGAAACCCTAAAAACAACTCAGTCAGTTTAGCAACTTAGCTAAAATTTGATGTGGTAGTTGTTGAGTCATCCCCAATTTATAATCTGAGCACTGATTGTGCAAGATCTGCTTTAAAAGCGTTTCCTCCAACTATTAAAGTGAACTGTCAGACTGTTAGCCAATTATCTTATAAACAGCTCAGCAGAATTAATGAAACTTTTAGAAAGTGTACGAACACGTGATTCACTTTTCGAGTTAATCCAATTTAAGATAGCTGCCACAACCATATGACTTTAGAAAGGACAAAAATGGTTATAACTCAGTCACTTTTATAGTATTACGCTGGATGTGGTAGCAGCTGAGTCAATAACACACAGTCTAGGACAGGGGTCTGCAACCTTTACAATCAAAAGAGCCATTTTACGCCTTCGTTCACTAAATTAAAAGTGTTCAGAGGTGCAACAACATTATACAACTGTGATTATCAACTGGTGACCCGTGGACCACTATAGGTTCGTTGGAGGGGCTTTTGTGGCGACTAAGGGTGACGTAAGAAAGCTAAAAATATCTAATAATTTATATTTTTACAATTTAAGACTAATGAAAAGACCAGAATCTTGTAAGGGTTGGGGATAGTTTTTTTTTTTCATTATTATTATTATTTATTAATAGAAACTATGAACAATGCAGACCTGTTTTTTTTTTGGTGAAAAAATTAATTATAGAAATAAAGCATAAAGTTAAAGAGAATATGTTTTACTCCTTGTACTTTTTCCAGTATTCACATATTTGCAAAATAAATGTCAGGAAAACTGCTAAAATTACGGTAGTTCTTTTATTTGTTGTTTGTACAACAATCAATAAAATTCTGTTTTATGTTGGTTTTGGTCAAAGCTTGAACTAGCCGTAGCGGAGGAACCAAAGGGCCGCGTGTGGCTCCAGAGCCGCAGGTTGCAGACCCCTGGTTTAGGAGCTAATGTTTTTTGCAATATCTCAGGAGCTTGACATTATTTACAAATTTGGACCAAAATGGCTAAAACTCCATAAATTCTCATTAAACGATTAACTTAAATTTGTCATTCTGGCTTAAAATGCAACCGGACACATTTCTTAAAGAAATGCTAGGCCTTTAATCTTAGAGACATAATTATATCGACCAGGTTATGAGACTTCCTGCTGCTTAAACACCACGACTACTGCTAAAATAAAAAAGGAAAAAAAAGGCAAGGCGATGCCTCAGATTTACAGTAACTCTTACTTAAACATAAACTCAATAAACATTTACAGTAAAATCAGAAAGTACGGTGCTGTCGTTCTCATGTGAGATCTTGAATAGTGTGAGCAGAAAACAGAGGAATACCTTGTCACACGTTTGGTTTCTAATCTCCCTGGAGCTGAAGAAGAGCGAACGCTTTTTCCAAGTGGCATTCTTGATCTGCTCTTTTTGTTACGATTGTTGTGATGCAAGTAGAAAAAAGACCTAAGGGCTGAACGATTCTTCCGTCCGTTAGTCCAACAGATCCTGCACGAGTGCGTTTACCTGACACTTGCTCTAACATTACACCCGAGCAGATCAGGTGCTGCAGCGGTTTCTAAGAAACCACGAGGGACAACAACATTCAAAGCATGGCCCAGTGCAGAGCAAGAATGAGCTTTTATTTTGTTGCACGGGGTTTCAAACTTATGGTATTTGATATGTTTTTGTGACTTTAATATTTAGGATGTTTTTTTGAAAACTACAAGACGCTAAGCAAATTATTTTTTACACTTTAGAACATTTTTAGATAGTATTTGAAAATTAAAATAAACTTCTAGCGGGAAACTGAGAAAAACATCCTAAAATCAAAGTGGCACATATTTTTTTTTCTGTTTACATTAAAAATGGTTACTAGCTGGTTCTATAATTTGACTTTTTCCATTATGAATCTCCCCTCATCTCCAATTTCCTTGATCGTATCAAACTTCAACGTATTTGCAATTAGTATCATCACTCTAACCTTTATCAATTTGTCATGTTCTTCTCTGGATAAATCAAGTTCAAACCAGTTTTATTGTCATTAACATCACAGGTGGTACATGAGGTGGAACAGAATTATATCCACAGGGTCCCAGTTACATCCAAAAATAGCAAAATATAAAGTATAAAATGAAACGGTAAATAAGTATCTAATAACACTATAAGCTAAACAAATGCCAAATGATACTTTGTACAATAAAAGATCTATATGCTAAAGTTAATAATGTAAAATAATATGGCGTAAAGAGCAGCCCGAACACGAGTCTGTGGTGAGCAGATATATGATGTGTCTCCTGTAAAAAATATAATCTGCATCCTCTGTTTTCTAAACTTAATTCAGGCTTTATTTCTTTTTTTTTTTTTACATTATTTAGTCTGTTAACATTCAATGACACCACCATTATATCATTATTTTCCATTGTTTATACCCCTTGAAGTATTTCTCACATTTTCCACTGGAATATTAATGTTTTACCAATTTCTACAATTGTCAGTTACAATTCCTCCAGTAAGTCTGCCTTAACAAACCCCATTTGCTGAGTTCAAATTAAGAGGTTTCACCATTCTCTCCTCGAGTGGATGTTGGATGCTGTCTATCACGGTGCATTAAGATTCATAACTGGCTGTAACTACCGTACCCAACACTGCACCCTGTATTCACTGGTTAACTGGTCATCACTAACTTCACGCAGACTCTCTCACTGGTACATTTTCATCTTTAAATCACTTCTTGGTCTGCTGCCTTCATACATCTCCTCCTACATGTCTCTGCGTGAGCGCAGCTACAGCGTGCGCTCTCAGGACATTATTACCTGCAGTGTTCCCTCAGTGTGGACTGAACTAGGTAAAAGGGCCTTCTTCTACTCCGCTCCTGTTTCCTGGAGTATCTTGCAAAAAGATCTGAAGCTCTCAACGTTGACCTCTCTAAGTGGCTAAAACCGAAGCAGGCATGTTCCTGTTTTTAGTTTTCTACACCGCCTTATAATCTAGCTGGTTTTTCTTTTTGCTACTTTTCCTTTTGACTGTCCTTTTTGGTTGCTATTTTGTTTTGATTTGTTAAAAAAAAAAAAGACATTTAAATTGTGTATGCCTCTTTTGAGACTGTTCATTGTTGTCGTTACTCACTGTTGTCATCACTCTTTGTTAAGAAATCACGTCTCTCTTGTCAGTGAGTCCCCGAGGCTCAGTATGGGAAGTTGAATGAATGAATGATGTAAATAAATCAAGTTTTATAATCATCTGTTCCCTTTTTAAATTGTGTGTTTTAAAGCAATGAGTCATAAAAGCAATAAACAGGCGCCCCACTCAAAAAAAAATAAAAAAAAATTAATTAATATTATTTTTCTAATGAACTCACTGGTGGGCCGGACTGAAGTCACCCACGGGCCGGAAGTGGCCCGCGGGTCACCAGTTGAATAGCTCCTACTCATTTACAATTTCTTATTTCTTACAAACGCTTTTCATGTAATACTTCACGCCAACAAATGTTGAATTGCTTAACCGTGTGAGTTTTCGACCAAAGCAGACATTTAGCACTTTCCTAACACAGCTCCGTTATTTCAACACACTTTGTTTTCAGGTCTGCTCCTTCTCCGCAGACTGGCTGGCAGCCATCTTCGTTTCAAGCTTAGCGCCATCGCTCCGTTGTGTTTGGAACAACCAACCAAGCGCACTCCGAGCAGGACCGTGTCCAATAAGAGGCTCCAAGAAGTTGGCGGCAGCCAATGTCCGACACACCGGATAAACACAGACGAATCCCCACAGCCAAAAGAGCGCGCACCGACGCTTCTCCTCGCCCCATTGTTTGAGACGTCCATCCAGCCGGAGGGGTGAGCATCCTCAACGTTACCTATCATCTCTTATGGCTGTAACGCTGGGCTAGCGGAGGCTTTAGCCTGTATCACATGTGCATGTTTAGCCCTGAACTGAGTTGGGTGGGATGCTAATTGTTTATCACAACCCGCTGAGTTAACTACGTAGATGCCTAGCGGTTGCGTTAGCTGCCGCTACGAACAATTACCAACTCAAAGAGAGCGTTTATCCACCGACGGGTTTACTAGCTGCTTCTGTTGGGTTAGCAACGCCATGTTCTGTGTGACCAGCTCACAGAGAGGAGTTCAACCCTGTGGGCTAGCCCGCTGCGTTAGCATGTGAACTGCCATGCAGCCCTGCTCAATGCTAACGCTAGCTAGTGGTTGAGTGTTCTCGCTGACTGGTGCTGAGGAGAACATCTTTCTCTGACATTGCGGGTGAAAAAAAAAAAAAAAATCAAACGAACCTGAGTGTAATTATTCAGAATTAAAGAAAGCGACTCTTTAAAATGTTTATATGACTGGAGGGAACTCATTGAAGGAAAAAAAAAAAAAATCTCGCTATTGTTTGAAGGTTTAATCAGCCATTTTAATGATCGTCTCGTGATACGCGATTAGCATTAGCTTAATGCTAAAAGGACACAAAGCAGGAGCCATAATGGCTAACAGCTAGCTGACATCAAAAGGAGGCGGACTCTGCTGCTAATGAATTCATTCACAACCTCTAGCCAGTTCACTCTCCTCCGGATGCTTCATACAATTACACAGCTCATTGTTTTTATCAGGTCACTGCTTGAACATTTTGGATAACAGCTGGAGCCAAAACAGTAAATTAATGTGGTTAACTGTTTTTAAGGAGCCTCATGTTAGCATCCTCATACAATGGATCATCTGTCACCCCAGACTCCCTCCTCCTCCTCCATGTTTAAACAATAGATGGGACTAACAAAGCAGGAGGCAGACAGTTGAGCACAGGGAAATTTGCATATTGGCAATGCTAAGTGCTGGACTCGACCTGGACACACGTTCGATAAGCATTTTTTTGGTTTGTTTTGCCTCTAGTAAGCCAAAATGGGGAAGGATCCAAAGAAGCCGAGGGGTAAAATGTCCTCGTATGCCTATTTTGTGCAAACATGCCGGGAGGAGCACAAGAAGAAACATCCTGATGCCTCCGTCAACTTTTCAGAGTTCTCTAAAAAATGCTCTGAGCGATGGAAGGTAGGAAGAAAATGGCTATTTATTTTTTCAATACCTTTTTTTTTCCCCCCTCCTTGAAAGTCATCATTTTGTTTTAAGTTTATTCTAAAAATCTTCTCTCTTTTTTTTAATTTTCTTTTCATAGACAATGTCACCAAAAGAGAAGGGCAAGTTTGAAGATATGGCCAAACAAGACAAGGTGCGTTACGAGAGGGAGATGAAGAATTACATACCCCCCAAGGGTCAGAAGAAGAAGCGATTTAAGGACCCTAATGCTCCCAAGAGACCACCGTATGTATCAAAACTTCACACTCCTCCTGGGTTATTTATTGTATTTTACACCAAACGGCATCGTTTTGTCCCACAGGTCCGCATTCTTTCTTTTCTGCGCCGACTTTCGCCCCAAAGTGAAGGGCGAGCATCCCGGCCTTTCCATCGGGGACACGGCGAAGAAGCTCGGAGAGATGTGGAACAGCTCCTCTGCAGAAGAAAAGCAGCCGTATGAAAAGAAGGCCGCCAAGTTGAAGGAGAAATACGACAAAGTGAGTGGATACGAACGATGCAGTCAAAAGTTTTATTTTCTCAAACGTGTTTACCAGATTTCATCATTTGTAAGAATCAGTGGAATAATAAGTGTTTGATTAAACGTATCTCTGTAGGATATTGTGGCATACCGCACAAAGGGTAAGGTGGATTCAGGATCTGCTGCTGCAGCTGACGATGATGGCGAGGAAGAAGAGGAGGGAGAAGAGGATGAGGAAGAAGAGGAAGATGATGATGAGTAGAATTCGTCAAGATGGGACCTGAAGTTTTGTTTATGCCATATAATCTTAATGTACTCGGTTCACTATCTTGAATCTAAAACCCAGTTGTATATTTAATGTTTTTATGATGTACAGTGTTAATCTCCCTTTTTTGTAAAGGTAACACTACATATCCTCAGTTTGAACTTTTTCTAGTGCTAGTCCTTTATTCCTGCCAAATTATATAACTATTTAGAAAGACTACATATCAGTATGGAAGTAGCTAGTCTTTTTGTGTTAAGTGTCAAAAATGAGGTTTATCAGTTGCTAGTGTATTATTTGTTTTGAAAATTATTTTTTTATGTGCCGTCCCAATGTCTTTATTGTTGTTTGAATACCACGCTGATGTCAAATGCAGCTGTTGACATTCAAGAATGTCTTAAATAAAAGTTTTTTTTTTTACGAGTTTGTCTCTTTTTTTTTTTATGTTTAGTTTTGTATTTTACAATAACGCAGTATATGGCATACAACTCAAAAATGAGCACAAACGATTTTTTATTTACTGTGAAAGATTATAAATGCAAGTTTAAACTTGCAAGATGGTAAACTCATCAAGATGTGATATTTTGGAAGATGCTCATTAAGAGGGCGGCTAAGAATATTTGCATTCATGGGAAAATGATCTGGTCTTTCATTCAGTTAGAAAAATGTCGTGTTACTGTGTTGTATTGAGGTATTTGTTGTTTTTAAATTGTTAAATGCTTAAAAATATGCCATGAACCTCATTGATTCAAAATGTCTTGAATAATTTGATTGTAGAAATGCAGTTGTACCAAAGTACATCCAGAAGATGGAGCTGTAATGAAGTACATATTCAGTGTGAAAGTTGACTTAAAATACTTTTCCCAGTGTCAATATTCAGATGTCACAGCAGCAACAACACTATACAGATATATAAAGTGTTTACATATATACTGTACACATAAAGCAGTATTTTCCCATACATGACTTGTCCGTGAAAAGAAAAGCGGAGAAGTGCAAAGTGATGCAGATATTGATGGCAGTTCTACAGTCTCGTGCTGTGAGGAAGAACGACCTGCGTTAGACCTTCCTGCACCAGGGATGTGATCTGGTGCTGAAGGGGCTGCTCTGAGACCCCTACAGTGCTGCGCAGGAGGGGGTGGAAATGGCCACCATGGATGATATCTATGTGAGCATCCTACTACTGTATCTTCCTGATTAGCTTCCAGTGGGCAGAGCAGGCGCTCCTAATCAATTTGTTAAGCCTCATCCAGTCTTCATTCGTGCTGCATCCCTCCCCAGCACTGACTAAGGACTGCAGAGTTTGTTGGAGATGGCTTTTCCTGTTAGTGGGGGTGATTATAAAATGAAAAAAAAAAAAAAACAACATTTATTGATATATTTACATTTTAATACAAAAGAAAATGTCAGATTTGTGTAGAGAAAATATATAATTGTTAACAATTTTATAAAAATCAAAACACTGAAATCTACAGGCTGATGTGAGTTATCTTAAGTGCTGAAGAATTAAAGCATAAAGTTAAGGACGATGTAAATTTAGGCCAGTTTATTGGATATCTAATTACATTTTTAAAGAAAAATAAATACTTTTGTTCACTTTGACTTTGCTTTTTGTGTTGTATTTTTAGTGTCATCAAAGTTACTCACCATATTCCTTCTCAGCAACTTGTCTTTTAAAGATATTCTAAAACATGCTGGTGGTTTTGAGAGAAAGATCACACTTGAGACTGGAAGTCGACTTAAAGTGGCTAACAAACAACTGTGCAGTCCACGTTTTACACCTTGGATTTGCACTATCCTTACTTGAAAATGACAGAAAATCTTCTGAAACCAGCCATTTTTATTGTTGGCAATAATTTAAATAACATTATTTTAGTTCTGGTCAAAGAACCACTGCAGGTACCAAAGAGCCACATGTGGCCCCAGAGCCGCAGGTTGCAGACCCCTGGTTTAGGTCAATGGTGTACTTTCTGTCCGGTCCAGTTTGTTGTTGAGATGAAGAACCTTGGTCTTGCTAGTGTTCAGGATCAGGTTGATCAACTAACACTAAATCCTAAAGTTCAAGACCCCACTCCACCCCCGCCCCGGTACTCCTGCTCATACTGCTTTACCTTTAACATGTCAGAAACAGTTGTAGTGTTGGGTGCCACTACTGCAAACCAATTCCACAAACTTCACATAATACATTTCTCATGAAAGCGTCCTTAGAGATTCCATGACATTTTACAAAAAGGGAAAGCCTTTACTGGTTGTTCTGCCATAAAACACGAGCTAAGCAGCTTCTGTACGGAGCAGCATTTCACAGTTTGTACTGGTAATGCCATGGCATTTTTAAATGTTCAGAAGAATAGTACGTTTTGTGTTTTGTGTGTACTCTTCTCTTTGGCATTATACAAATGACCTTTTGTGATTTCTTTCTGGTTTTGAGTTCCCACTTGGTGTAACTGGAGACCATTAAAAGTCACACTGGTCTCACAGTCACTTTAAGTGGGTTCACACGTCTTTTTATTGGACGTTTTTCAGCTCCGCCTTTTCTCAAAAGACAGTGGATAAAAAAAAAATGTTTCCTTTCAGTGATTTCAGGCAGAAACAGAAAGTCCTGCATATATTTCTAACAGGATTCAAATTCAAAAATACTTTATTAATCCCAGAGGGAAATGATTTGTTGTAACTCGTTATCCTCATTTCATTAAGAGATGTTATGGATACTGATGGCTATAGGCAGGAAGGATCTCTTGTAAAGGTCCATCCTACAGTGGATTCCAAGAAACTGGCTGCAGATGCCGTCCAATCCGTCCACCCAGACTCGGCTGGCCTCTCAGTTCCCCCGGGCTGTAGGATTGCCCGAATGCTGGGCAGAACTCCTCCCAGAGCGATGGCCACTCCTCCCAGCAGTCTGCCGAGCTCCTCGTCACTGCGGACAGCCAACTGTAGGTGCTGAGGGACGATCCTGTCCTTCAGCTGTCATGAGCCGTGTTTCCTTCTAGTTCCAGGATCTCAGTGGTCAGGCACTCCAGCACAGTTGGCAGGTAGATGAGAATGCATCCACAGAACATCCTTTCAACTCACTTGAAATTTGGGGCTGTAGTTGAGAGATTATTTGAGCTTTTGAGATGTTAATCAGCTGCTGTTGGTTGTAGAAAAACGGCCTTGTTGCCATGGTTACGCATCATAACAAATGTCCCAAACTAAAAAAGTTTCAGTAAGAATCCTTCCAGCTGCACAGCATCCGATACCAGAGGAAACAATCAACCAAAAAATTGTGATCTACATCCAGAAACATAGGACCTAAAGTTTCCAAATGCAAAATCTCAAAATGAAAGTAACAGAGCTGCTCCAACATGCAGCCACCTTGAGCGGCACAGTTCTAGAACAAATTGTCTTTAATTATTATTATTAGGATTATTATTATTATTATTTATTTATTTTTATTTATTATTATTATTAGGATTGTCTTTAATCAAAGTTTTTTGTTGGTTTACATTTTCTCCAAGACGGCTGCTTTTTGCTGTACACTCAGTTTAATAACAGCTGTCATTTGGGACCTGTAGTTCAGTGTGTCCCCCCCTCTTCCCCCCACACACCTCACATTTTACTCTTTGAATGAATACCCTTTTTTCACATGCTGCAGAAAACTAACAGCATGCAGGATACAGAGCAATCACAACATCACTTCTACAGAGAGAATACAAAACAGGTGGAGTCAAGTTGGATTTATTAGTAATTCTTTTCCTTCTCAGAGAAAAACTTTTATTTTTTGTATGTTTTCACTGAACGAAGGCTTTGCGTAGCGTGATATCAGACATGACATTCTGGATTACAAGATTAGCTGATCACTATAAAAACAGCTTTCACTTTGTTAGTTTTGGTTGGAGGGAATCTGTGCACTCTCCAGGACTTCGATTTTTAATGCCACACGCTTATTCATTTATTTTTATTTTACCTTTATTTAGCAGGTGAAATGTTTGAGAATGACCTCATTTACAAACATGACCTGTTTTTTTGTTTTACCTAGGATCGTACTCTGACCTGATAGTACAATCATGACCAAGAAATACGAGTTTCTGGATTTAAACTTTATAATGGACTCTGACGGACAACGGAGGAATTACTTCGTTTTATTGTTTCCTGTTACGGTAAGTTGGTCTTTTATATTTACTTAAATATATGACTAATCAGACGTTTAAAGATGACATCTGTCTGTAAGTCATTTAAATCCTGTTTATATAAAAAATACAAATAGTTGAATGAGGGAATGTTTTCTTTCCTCAGCTCTTTATTCTCGTCTCCTGTGATGAACCTTTGTTTGGAACGTTGGGGAATCAAAGTACTGAGAGTAAATTTGCAGATACAGTTGAAAGTCATCATGTGCCTCCCTTCTGGTTAAATACATCTGTTGATGCTGAGCTGAATCATGGCACAGTCGACACACGTTCACAAAACAGACGGCAAAGACAGATGGCTTTGTCCAAAACTGTTTATTCGTTTCAAGTAAAAGAAGACACAGTGCCAGGTTTGTCATTTTCCTGCTTGTAAGCACATTTGCACAGGATGTTTGTTGACAACTATATTACATACTTGTTTTATCTAAATTTATCTTACAATAATTTTTTTTGTTTTTGATCGATTGCCAGACACTTTCTTTTCCATTCTGCAGTTATTAGATCACCCAGTAATTATACATGGTTCCCTGTGTTGACAGGAACAGTTGTGGGAAAGGTGGAAACACAGTTCGGGGGTCTCACGCCTATCACATACTCAGTTCAGGAGGATGATGGAGAGAATTTATTCCTCCTCAGCCCCACCTCTGGGGAGTTCCTATTATCCCGCAGCCTGGACTTTGAAACCCAACGGTTCTACATTCTCACAGTGGAGGCAAAGCAGGGGGAGACTCAGGTATCCAGTGACAGGGTGTACTTCAATGTGCTGGACGTGAACGACAACCAACCTGCTTTTAGTCAGAGCCACTTCTCTGTGTCGCTGCTGGAGGACACACAAGTCGGCACTTGCTTCCTGTCATTAAATGTATCAGATAACGATCATGGTAAGAGGATAATGGGATACATCAATACTCTACTAAATTCTACTGAAAGCATTTGCTTTTTTTCCTTTTGTTCTTTTTGTTGATAAGCTTTGTTTAAAAGGCATTTAGTTAGACATATTTTGTTGCTTGGTTGTGGCATCCATTGGATTTTTTTTAAATTTTGTTAAGTAAAAAAAAAAATTGATGAAGATTAACAAGATGTGTTTTTCCTGTCTCTCTACAAGAATGATCAGACATGGAATAGGTGATAATTGTCCTCTAAACCTTTAACTGAATCTACAT